ATCAGGGATGTTCCTACCAGTACAATTGTACTGAATCAGTACAATCGTCTGAAAAACAGTACGTCAGTACTACATCGCCAGTTTTTGCCATATTTCAGTACATTTGTATATTTCAGGTGAGATAAACACAGAGACAAAGAGATAAAAGAAATATTCTCTAAGTTTGTAGTCTTAGAGCAGAGAATAGGGGCGCGAGTTTGTGGTATCTACTCTCTATGGCATGGTTTTGTCACAGCATAGATGAATATTTATTTTTATTATATTTATTTTGCTGTGGTTTTGTGTATTTTGAATTGACGTGTTTTGTTCTGTGACTTTGTTTTGTGTTGAACAGTTCATTTGCGGTTTTCTGCTTATCCATCATAGAGAAATAAACAATTTGTATTCTATCTGCGTTATGCTGTTAAATAATCATTTTATTCGTTTTTATAAAATCATACTGATCAAATATTAAAACGTGTGCTACTATTTTAATAATTCAAAGTAAGATAGAAGAAAATAACAGAGGTGCTGCGGACTGGGAGTGGGAGCCTCCGCAAGTTATATACAAATATCAAAATGCTTCAGTATGAGCTACAACTATTGATTAATAAAATGTACGTTTATTATAAATAAAATTATATCGTTATAAGTGGCTTAATTTTATGAAATGTCTGAAACATGAGAATTTTCTTTATATTTAAAGTATGCGTACAGTGGTTTTAAGAAGTTTCACATTTAAGAAACTCATGTAGCTTATTTTTACAAATTTTAATATTTACGATGCTGATTGTATCACATTTTGTCAGATCTCCTCTGTGGTGAGTCTCTGAAGACAGAAGTGTTATGCACAGAGCGGTTATGGCTATGTATCGCGATTTCTTTAAATAGGAATCAGATTTGACGTTTTACTATCATTTTACGTGTTAAGTTTTTAAAAATTTAAATTTCCCGCGTCAGTACAATTTAGTTTCAAATCAGTACATTGGCATCACTGATTTCAGTACAAAAAAATATATTCTAGGAACAACACTGCTCAGGCCAGTCAACACGATTAATAAATGGACAAAGCGGCGAAATTGAAATAGTTTTGACATGGTTATGACATTTGTTTGTAGTTGCGTTGCAGTGCAATCCGGCAAGCAATTAGTTTTTGTTGTGTTGTGCTTGTGTAAAGTGTATAATGTGACTCCCCATTAGGTACATCAATAATTTAGAAAATAAAGATACTGTATATTTCATAAAATAAATATTTACAAGGGAGAGTTAATTAAGATCATTGGTGCACCAAGTCTATACATTTTACTAAAAACGTTTAGTATATTTCTGACCTAACCTTAAATTTAGAACCATTTTTATTTTTAACTTGAACTGTGATCAGCAAATATTACATAAAATAACAGAAATGCGTTTATGAGGTAATATAATTTCATTTGCCTATCTGTATTTTATTTTCCGGGAATACTTTAAAAAATATGAATTTTTTTTTAATGTCATTATCAGGTAAACAATGTCATGGTCAGTGGGTCAACATACTTATTAAAATTTAACCGAAAGTAATTCTTACTTCTTATTAGAATATAAGTAATTTTACAAAAGTATCCTACATTTAATTTTTAAATCCGTGTAATCGTGTATAGTTACTTATACAGTATCTTTGTTTAATTAAAAATTGTATTAAATTAATCGTATGTAATTAAATGAATTCATGAACTTTTAGTATCTAAAGGAGGATGGTTCAAGAGAAAGTTTTATATTCAGTCGTCAGTACATTCCATCATTCTGTTTTTTATGTTATTTAAAAGCAGTTAAAATGAGTTTGAAAACGGAAACTAGCTATAATTTTGAATTAATAAGTAAAAATCTACTATGCGGGGGTAAGTACATTTTTGTTTGTTCAAAAAATTATTTTTTTATTTTTGTGTCCTTGAATTGCGTAGATATGCATATTAGAAATTATGATACACCTAGATGGACTGTTTATAAGTGAAACTTAATATATATTTATGGTATTAGTGTTTAAAATAATATTAATTTTTCTTACATCTGAAGATATCTAAGTAAATGTAGACATCTGATTGTTATATGTAGCATGTTCAGTGTCATTCGATTTATAATTTATTTTTAAATTTAACAGCATAACCAATTAAAAACATACGTAAACGTTCGAAAATGGCATAGAAATAGGTATTTATTTATATTACAGTATATTTTTTATGATTAGAGGGTCACTGTGGTATTCATTAACTTTGTGCATAATTAATATTTTTGATTGTGCTGTTATTAGGTTATTTAAACAATTTTATGGTAAAATTATTTGCCTTGTCTTGAAATATGTACGTATCTATCATATTTCGTATACCAAAGAGATCAAACCAATCACGAACTGTGCGTGTTTATCTTAAAAAAAACGTATTATAATTTACGTTTGTTACAGTTAGTTTTCTTATTTTTATTATTTATAGAATCTTGAGAGATGACAAATTTTATAATGCATCACGTCCTGAATTAGGTAACATGTTACTGGAGGTGCTTAGATTTTAGTTTCCGTCAAAATTGTTTTGATGTACACACTAATGCAAAAAATTAAAGGGTCAAAAGCATTCCCGAAATTTTTCCGTGATTTTTGACAGACTGTATTTAGGTGGAAAATGGTCGTATCGGAAATTAAAAAAAAGCATTTTGAGGCTCTAAAATTCTAGTTTTTAGATCTTCCAGCCGAAATTTTTTAGGAGCTACGGTTATCATGCAATTCTAAGAATTAGCGCGACAAAAAAAATTTGCAATTTTTTTTAAATTTTTTATTTTTATTTTTTTTACAGCTAATTGCATGGATCAGATAGCTTGTTTATTCAGCTTCAATTTCCTTTTTTTTAATTTCGATACGACCATTTTTCATCGAAATATCGGACTTTTAATGGAAAAGGATCCTTTTGTCTTCAATCATCGATATTTCGACGACAAATGGTCGTACAGAGAATTGAAGAGCACTTTCGAAAACTGGAATAAATTTCCTATAACGTACTGCCGCAACTTTTCGGAAAAATTTTCAGAGAAGAAAAATGGTAGTTTAAAAAAAAAACTATTTTTATAGTGACTGCACAAAAATTAATTAAAAATTTGTCTCAAAAAATGGTATGAATCGGGGTCGAAATCTGGTTTGGGTCATCAACTTTAATTATAATTTAATTAAAAGTTGATGAACAGAAGCATAGGACGAAAAAGCCGAATCGTGCTGAAAACAATTGGATTTTGTTTTCTTCAATGTCCAGAAGGTTTTCCAAAAAAAAACATAAAAAGAATTTCAAAAATTTCGAAAATTTTTGTAATTTTTTTTTTCGTCAATTTAAACATTATTTGCGGTAAAAATGTGAGAAAACCTCAAAAAACAATTTAGTTTTCCACTTTAATGATGATTATGAAGCGTTTAAGCTCAAAAAACGCGTCCCTTTAATTTTGATCAAAAGTTTGACTGTTTGAAACAAATAAACGATTCGCTAGATCGAGATGAAACTCAGGGTTCTTCTGGGTATCGAACTGTAAAAGTCATGCTTAACATTAGTCATTTCGTGAATATTAGCCGCTAATTTTCTAAAAAACATAAATTACCCTTTTTTCCTGTTTTTTAAAATTCGTGTAAATGAAAAAAAGAAAAAATTTCCGAAAAGTTACTGCAGTATGTTATAGCGACCATTTGTCGCCGTGATATCGGTGATTGAAGACAAAAGGATGCTTTTCCATAAAAGTCCGATATTTCGATGTAAAATGGTGGTATAGAAATTTTAAAAAAAGGAAACTGAAGCTAAATAAACAAGCTATCTGGTCCATATAATGGCTTGGCTGAAAAAAAATTTCCAAGTACGTGGAAAATAATAAAAAATTAAAAAATTTTTTGTCTATTTAGAATTGCATGATAACCGTAGCTTCTAAAAAATTTCGACCGAAAGATCTAAAAACTAGAATCTTAGAGCTTTAAAATACTTTTTTAAATTCTCGAAAGGACCATTTTTCACATAAATACAGTCTGTCAAAAATCACGGAAAAATTTCGGAAATTCTTTTGACCCTTTAATTTTTTGCATTAGTGTATTACACAAGTCCAGCTTCTTCATAAAGCGACTTTATGAATTAATTCATAAAGAAATTCACAGTGTAAAACAGCTAAAATACATCAAAGCTGTCAAATAACTTCATGAATGTAATCAGAAATTCTTCACGAATTGTAGTTGTTATACATTGAGAATATATTCATGAATAAATTCACGAAGTTTTTCATTAAGAATTAATCAATTTATTTGTAAAGAGTTTGGTTTTACATTGTCCTAAACTACGTGAATTTCTTTGAAACAAAAATAGCTACTAATAGTAATAACTCTACAAACAAGTCATAAGTAAATAAGAATAATAATCAACCCTTTGGGTGTTGATTCTTTTGGCGCAAAAGGTTATTTATTAATTTTTTCTTTTCAGTGTGCCAGAAATACACAATCAAATAAAAAAAGTAATTAATACATTTTCTTGAATAAGTTGAGAATCGTTGTTTTTATGATAGCATGAAAAAGAATCGTAATCCTACTTTGCCAGGTCAAATATCACTGTATAAAAGCATGTTGAAATAAATATGTGAACAAATAACTTAACCTCACTATTTTTGTTGGTAGTATTGAACTGCATAAAGAAACTAAAGGAAATTAGAATATCTGTTTTCTAATTCGTGAATAACCATGAAGAAATTCGCAGTGTAAGACATAAATAATAAAGCATCTCCATGTGACGTCACGATTTTGAAGAGGGCCTGCGTGAAGCTTGTAGCCCCGGGCCTCACCATAGGTTAAGCCGGTCCTGAAAAATTCTAATAAACATGTCATTTCCTTATAATAAAAGAGAAGTTTTAGTTAGTTTATCTTCCAAGCAACAACTTTGGAAATAGGTGCAGATGCACTATTAAATTCCTAACAAACATCCTGTATAAAGAGAACCGAAGCAGAGGCGATTTCAGTTACCTACCTTTACGGTATTGTGATCCAATATTAAACGTACATAATAATAATAACAATAGTACAAGATACATTTGCGTAGTTTCAAATTATAATTTCATTGTTAACCCTAACAAAACACAAAACATCTAGGCATCTTTCGGATATGTATCTAAAAAGTGTCAGTATGTGTCACAGTGTTGTTACTGTGAAAACAATTAGGCGAAGGTCAGGGTCTTGTTATTATTTGTAATTATCTAATAAAAAATTGCAGATAATGAGTTAAATTATTTTCATTAATTTTATTTTATTGACACATTTATCACTACATATTTCATAAAAATAAAAAATTCTAAAAATCCTGTCAAATGTTCTCTAGTACCAGAAATCTAGACACCAGTATGCAAAAGATATTTAAGTTAAGCTAATAGAAAATATTCCTAATTGATGCAATATCTAGTAAACAGGTAGTAAATAATAATTTTGTAAAATAAAAATTAAAAATGATATGTCTAAATATTGTTGATATTTAGAAATTGTTAAATAATGTAATCTTATATTGTATTCTTAAATTAGCCTTATACTTTTAAAATAATGGAAAAATACTAGAGCTAATAATAAAATACATATATGTATTTTAAATAATCAGAGGTATAATAGGTATATTGTTTGTAAATAAGTGCGAAATATTTTAGGGGATGGTTGCCGAAGTTATTTTGTGGTTGCCTTCGTTTCCGAGGTACAGTGTTTAAATTTTAATTTTTTATTTGTTTTCATTAATATTAAAGATATTGACTCGAAATTTGGAAAACGCTTTGGAGGAATGAATGTGCATTTTTGAGGTGATCCGAATATTTCTACTTGCACCGGTGGCGTTCGTGCGAGAATGCTACAACCTTTTATAATAAAAAAAATGGCACGCCACTAACTTTTTCCCGTTTTGATATTTTTTTTAGAAATCCGCCTTCGTTTTTGCGGAAAAAAATAAAACATATTTTGTAGCTGGTTGTGTATTTCTAATTTCTATTGATACATTATCTAGTAGGTTGCTATCAATATTTCTAAATAAAATATTCGAGTCAATATCTTTAAAACTGAAATAATTAATAAAAATAAATAAAAAATTAAAATTTAAACACTGCATCTCGGAAACGAAGCATATTTCGACCTATATAAACATATGAACTTTTTTTCACAAAATAACTACGGCAACTACCCCCTAAAATATATCGCACTTATTTACAAACTCTGTACACTTCTTAGCACTAAAAGATGGGGCTAGGAATTAAAAATTGAGAGTATCTCTAGGTATATAAATATTTAAATGCTGTTCGTTGGTAAGCGCATCACTTGAGAACAGCTGGAGTGATTTGGCAATTTTTTTTTAATGTTCGTAATAGTCCGAATAATTATGACAATATTTTTTTCCAATTTTTTCCATCCCTCGTGAAAGACTTTGAATTTTGATGGTGAGACGAGTATCTAAAATGTGTTCAAATTTGTAAACTTTTTAAATTTGCCGCCATTTATGTTTTTGTACTAAAATAGTTTTGTTTTTTTAATAGCTTTTAAGTAGAAATACGGCGATTAATAAATATGGAGAAGTATACGATGGAACAACGCGTCTTTATTGTTAAAAATTATTTGAAATTTGGTGAAAGTTATGCAGAAGTTGGAAGAAAATATCGTACAAAATATGGAAAAACAAATTTTCCAACAAATAGCACCATTCGAAAATCAAAGAAGTAAAATTTACATTCTTAGAGGTCGTTTACAAGAAAATATTGCAGTTGTCAATGATAGTGTCACTGCAGAACCTTACACATCAATTAGCCATCATTCACAGCAATTAGGAATTAAGCAAACCACTTTATTCAATATTTTGCATAAGGATCTTCACTT